CAGTCCCAATTGGTCCAGTACCATTGCCGCAGGAGCCGAGGCAATCCCAACCCCCAATACTCGCTCCTCATGCAAATTCCGTAGTGTCGCGCGCGCTAATTGCCACCACATCATATTGTCGCCACCACACATTCCAGCTCTGGTAGCACAACCTCATCAAACAAAACAAATATCGCGCCATAGAAAAAAAACTCCGCCGCTGCCGTGCCGCAAATCCCTGTTATCGTGTCGCTAGTCGAGCAAAATTTCCACACCAAAGGAAAAAAACAAGTGTTACCGCACCACCAATCCGGCAACACTTCCCCGCCAAAAAATCTGGCAACACTTCCCTGCCAAAAGGAAAATTAAGTGTCACCTCGCCGCAAGTCCGACAACACTTTCCTGCCAAGAAAAAAAATTTAAGTGTCGTCACGCCACAAATCCGGCAGCATTTCCCTGCCAAAAGAAAAATCAAGTGCCGTCGTGCAGCAAGTCCGACAACACTTCCCTGCCAAAATAAAAATCAAGTGCCGCCTCGCCGCAAGTCCGGCAGCACTTCCCTGCTAAAAAAAAAAATCAAGTGCCACCGGGCCGCAAATCCGGCAACACTTTCATGCACTGCCGTAATAGCCGCCGTCGATGCCTTGTCACTCGAACAACACCTCCCCAGCGCGTAAGAAAAATGACTGCCACCAACGCCGCACCGCTCATGCAACACCTCCCTAGTACTGTCGTTATGGCAGTCGATGACGTCGTGCCACAACACCTTCCCAGCGCCGAAGCGTCGTCGTCGCCCCCTGTCACATCTCACGACCGTTCCTCGCTGCGCTGCCGTAAATCCCTATAGACTAGCCAGCCATTGGATGAAGCAGAGTGCTCCGGCCGGGCTATGGCTGTCTCCTCCTCCTCGCCGCACTCCACTGCAGTCCTCCAGCTCCGTCTGCAGCACTCCTGCCTCCTCTCCAACACTCAAGCAATAAGGCAAGTGTGCTATCGCACACGGGCTGTTGGAGGCAAGTGTGAGGCAGCTGGAGGACAACTGTCTCTTTTGTAGTGGCTGAGGAGGGCAGCAGCAGCCTCAACTGCCCCCATACAAAATTCGTCACTTGCCTGGGGCCCTTGATCTCAACACGATGAAGGGTCTGAGGTCATCGCACCTCAACCACACACTTAGGGAGACAGTTACCCTCAACCGCCTCCTTCCTTTTTCCCTTTTTTTCCTGTACCAAACACTTTATCAAGTGCAGGTACGTCACAAAAGTGGCTGTACACAACCACTTTCCCTCTTGTCCCTTAAAGTTACAGGTTTGGCCTGAATAGCCACATTTAGGTCAATTTAGCCTGTACTTGAAGCATGGCCGCGACCACTTTTGTGGTTGTGGCTGTTGCTTTCCTCTCCCTTGCATTTCTTCTGTCCTCCCCTGAAAACGGGGAGGGTAATTGTCAGGTTGGGGGTAGTTGTCAGGCTGGGAGAGGTAGGGAAACAACTAGTGAAAATTCACGAGTTCAAATCCCGACAGGCTCAGAGTGGGGTGCAAAAAATACCCCGCCTTTGATGATTTAAAAAAAAAACATTCACTCAATAAAAAAAATTGAAAAACTTCACGCGCATGGCCTAGGTGCCTGGCTACCTATAGAAAAAATTTCAAGGCTGACAAAATTGGTTTACACCACCAAAACAAAATTGGCGCAAACAAAAAAAATACAGATTTTCATAAAATTTGTTATCGTTTTCTCGTTTTTTTTTCCCTTTTTTTTATTCTCCTTTTTTTTTTTTTTTTTTTTTTTTCTTCCCCCCCTGACAACGGGGAGGCAGCTGGCAGGTCGGGAGGAGTAGGTCCTCCTCTCTCTCATCCTCTCATTTCTCTCTTTCTCCCTCTCCACTCAACTCCCACAGTTCTTCCTCCACGCGTGTGTTGTGAGCCGTGAGATTCAAGATTTCGCGGTCACGAATATTCGTGCCTTCTGAACGAGGAGCTAAACATACTCCCACACAACCTGAAAAGGTTGTTCTTCTACCTTTTGCTCCTACGAGGCTGTTGCCTCATTTTCGTTGTTGTTGTTGTTGTTGTTGTTGGTTTTTTTTTTTTTTTTTTTTTTTTTTTTTTTAAATGTCGTTGGCATAAGCCAACGACCACTGTATCAATACCACGTCTCGCTGGCATTTCTCCCCCCTTTCCTTTCAAGGTGCGGATCCAAGTTCGATCCCCACGGGGATCGTAAAACAAACTTTGAACTATTTATTGATTTATGCGTGTCATCCTTGAGCATGGGTTGTGCTTGTAGTCGCGTGGCCGTTTTCGGCCGTGAGATTTGACGATCTCGTGACAAAAAATGACCGCGCTTCAAGGCTATATGGTGGACAACTCAAAAAATGAGCTAGCCCTGGCAGGACATCGTCGGGCTCGATCCTAGCATTTGCTGGGTGGAAGTTGAGTGCGGTACCTACTGGGCTAGCTCCTATCACAGGAGCTATGCCTACCACCCTTCTATTTGAAGGGTTGCGGCCCAGTAGGCCGCCTACTTTCTGGGCTAGGATGGTGCAGTCTGCCTATCCCCTCCAACGGCAGGCCGCCCCGCCACCCAACCGGCTGGCTAGGTTTGGTAGGCCCGACAATCCACCCTTTTCGTCGTGGGTTTGCCTTCGGAACCCTGACGTCCGCCCTTTTAGAAAAGACACGACCCTCTGGCCGTGTTATTCCTTCTCACCGTTGCCGTTTCTCTGGCGCGGCTATATTTTTGGTTTTCCTGGTCCTGAATCGCGCGACTACTTAGGTAGAATACGTCTGGTTCTAGAATTTATATGTCTGCATGCCTCTGCGGCATCAACAAAACTGCTGACTACCGCCATTATCTTCATGCGACACAAGCGTTTGAACTATAGTTTACAAAAGTTTCAGTCTCTTGGTCATAGGCTTCATCCGAACAAACTTTTGGCAATGTCAGTCTCATCAAGTCCTTCAATTCAACGAAAGAGTCGGACAATGTTCGACGTTTAAAATCCCCGGCAAATACCCTTGTCAGGGTATTTGCCCCAACAACGTGATCCCAACTTTGCGCACCTTTTCTCATAGAGAAATTGACGCGTAAATGCACTACCAACCGCTGTGACAAATCATGAGCAAATTATGAAGAGAACTGCATCAACTCATCGTTTGACTTTTTCAGTAGCACACTCCTCCTCATGACATAGTCGAGTGACTACAAACCAATTATGTACACATCCTCGCACATTTCATTTGCGGTCATTTGTAGGTACAAGAACAACAATGAACAAACATTTCGTTAGTCACGGTTGTTGTTAATCAAGTGTTTAATTACTTATATATATATATATATATATATATATATATATATATATAAAGCCTCCTGATGAGTCGGTGAAACTCCGACGAAACAGTTTGTCACAGCCCCTCGTTTGTTGTCCTCTTCTCCCTCTCTGCCTACGGTTTACCGGGCAGTTTTATTTGACGATATATATAAAACGAAAGACAAAGAAACTTAGGTAGAAAGTATAATTACACATACACAATAGAAAGTGAAGATGAGTATAAATTTTATCATTGAGTGGAGTCATTGAATCACGTAGACTACCAATACTTTTTGCAACCATTTTATAATAACATGATCATAAATGTGCCACGACCTTTTGGGCATGACCTACCTGATTTTTAATGGTTGATAGTGCTAGTTAAAATGTAAAAAAACTCGCCCCTGTTGGGTGGCGCACAATATAAATCCATTTCCGGAGAAAGAGGTCCAAAAGAAATAAATTTAGCACCCCCCTATGGAAAATACTTGTCTGGAAGCTCGCTTATATGTAAGTCAATCTTTGCAGGAAGGAAAGGTGGGGCTTTATCTCAAGGAAACATGTCAAGCATATTCCTCATTGGAAATGTGAGACCCTCTCTCTACTCAAGCTCAACGGTGCACATCAAAAGAGGGAGTCCCTCACAATATTATTCTCTAGTCAAGCTTAATGGTGTACATCCAAGGAGGGAGTCCCACATAGTATCCGTGTATTGCCCTATTGTCTTGCACTACTACCATCAATAGCATCACTATTAAGGTCATTGTTTGACAATGTTTCTCACCTATGTCGTTGTGATAACAACTGTTTTTTCTCATTCGTATTTTTGTGATAGAAATGTATTCGGTCATGGAACTGTGATGAGGGCGTAGGAAGAAGATGTCCGATAATGGTAGGGGCCTCACTCGGAATCTGCTCTATGTATGCGTGCTCCATGTTTCCGAGTAGTCGGTGGTTGAAATCTAGGGCTGAGGACTAAGAATGAACCCAAGTGGGACCTCACCCCTGTGTAAAGGGTAATCGCCTTGAGATTTCATCATTGAACTGACCGGCCGTGGGTAGTTCAAAGTCAGTTATTTTGTTATAATCTGACTGCTTACTCGGAATCTGCTCTATGTTTCCGAGCCATCCATGGTGGAAATCTATTGTCTGAGGACGAAGAACCTCACCCCCGTGGAAAGGGCAACGGCCTTGAGATATTATCATTGAACTGACCGGCCCTAGGTAATTCCGAAGTATGTTAATCTGACAGCATCTGGATTCGAACTTGGATTTGTATTTCAACAGTTCATGGGTGTAGCAACTGAGCTAAGGCCCGTTGGTACTACCATCTCTCGATTTATGCGTCTAGGAGTCCCGTTGGTACTACCCGTAACAGGAGTTTAGCCTTGCTTTGGAGTGTTTGTCAATGCGGCCACAGTGCGGCCGTGAGATGTTGACATCGGCCGGCAGTAACAGGTGCGTATTCGAAACCAAGGCTAACCCGCCGCTACCGTCTTCCCCCGGACATAACGCACCCTGAAAATGAACGTATACAAGATATGTTTCCGGCCCGATGCGTTGTGTTCGGGGAAAGACGGTAGTGGACTGAGCTCCCGAGTCTGCTCGTCTCGAGCTTCTTGAATGCTGCGCCGGGGCTAGGTCCCACTTACACGAATTAAGCCATATTGACCGTAGATAGTAAAGATCAACGGCCAGATTCTCGTAATCGGTGCAAGTGGGACCTTGCCCCCGGTCCGGTTCGAACTTCAAACCGTGCAGGCAATCTGAAATCGTGCCAAAACGGTGCAGGCCTTTCGATCTTCGTTGGCTGTGAATGATGATGATGAGGGTCGACGGAAGTTGTGCTGAAACGTTGCTGGCCCTTCGATCTGCCAATGGGTGTAAATGACGGGGTACCGTCCGTTCGATCCTTGACGCCTCGTCAGCGGAGCCTGCTCTGCAGAAGACCCGGGCCGACGACATCGAAGCGGTGTCAACGACGTGACCAGGGCTCGAACCCTAGACCGGTAAGGCGACCACGTTGCGTCCCTCCACTCCATCCTCCTCACTCGTTCTCTTCCTACGTCAGTCAGTCTCACCCTCCACTCCACATCTCTTCCCTCCTCTCACCTTCTATCCACATCTTCCCTCCTCTCACCTTCTTTCTCTGGACATGTACACATGGAGCACGCCAGCAAGAGGAGAGAGGAGGGAAGGGAAGGAGAGTAGAGGAGGGAAGGAGGGGAGAGGAGGGAAGGAAAGCAGCAACCGAGATCGTCGGGAATAGATTACACAATCGAGCAAAGAAGGAAAAGGAAACCTATGTTTAGCGCCCACAGAGAGAGGGAATTAGCTCTAAACCGCCTTCTATCAGTCACTGTGAAAGTGTAGTTTTTTCTCAGTAATCAGTATAATAATATAGTAATGGCTTGGCAGGAGAGTATAGCAAAAAAAATAAAATAAAAATGGCTGGCTATTGTCGAATAGGGGAAAGAGTCGTAGCAATTCTTCTTCTTCTTCTTCTTTTCTTTTTTTTTTTTGATTTTTTTGTTAAGGGCAATTGTAAGCAGTTGTATTCTACTGATGGTATGCATGCACCTGTTTTACACCAGAAACGGAAATGGACTACGGCGTATCAGCAACAACACTAAAATCCACCGCAAGTGCGATTTCCTGCAAAGCACCATAATTAATCTGAGTCAATTCCTGGAATGCAAGCACACAGGAAGTGACGGATGACGAACTCGATACTGATGATGATGATGAGCATAACGAGGAAAAGGAGGTGGAGGAGGAGGAGGAGGAGGAGGAGGAGGAGGAGGAGGAAGAGGGGCAGCGGGAGAAGCAGGGAGAAGGAGTAGGAGCAGTGATAAGCAGGAAGGAGGAGCAGGGAAGAAGAGGAGGAGGAGCAGGGAAGAAGAGGAGGAGGAGCAGGGAAGAAGAGAAGGAGGAGCAGGGAAGAAGAGAAGGAGGAGCAGGGAAGAAGAGAAGGAGGAGCAGGGAAGACGAGGAGGAGGAGCAGGGAAGAAGAGGAGGAGTGACAGGAAGGAGTAGGGACAAGCATGTGCCCGTCATACTTCTCCCTACTCCTTCCTGCTTCTCCTCTTCTTCCCTGCTCCTCCTCCTCCCTCCCCCTCTCTCATGCTCCTCATTCCTGCTTCTCATTGCTCTTGCTCCTCCCTGCACCTCCCGCGCCCCCTCCTCCTCTCCCACCTCCTCCTCCTCTCCCGCCTCCTCCGCCTCCTCCGCCTCCTCCGCCTCCTCCTCATCAGTATCGTGTTCATTATCCTCTTCCCCCTCAATGCTCGTCCTCCCTGCTTCTCCCTACTCCTCCTTACTGCCGCTCCTCCTCTTCTTCCCTGCTCCTCCTCCTCCCTCCTCCTCTTCCCTGCTCCTCCTTCCCGCTTCTCACTGCTCCTCCTTCTCCCCGTACCTTCCGCGGCCCCTCCTCTTCCTCCTCTTCCTCCTCCTCTTCCTCCTCCTCTTCCTCCTCCTCTTCCTCCTCCTCTTGCACCACCTCCTCCTCCTCATCAGTATCGTGTTCGTCATCCGCCACGTCCTGTGTGTTTGTATTCCGGGAAGAGGATGGAGAGGAGCTATCTCTATAATCTTGCACCTGCTATACGCTGGGAGACGGAGGCCGTTTTCATCCACTACGTAAATCGAGAGAGAACCCTGGTTGATTATGTTTTTCCCCCCCTCCTTCTGAAGCATCATAGAATAGTACCCTCGGTAAGCTTCGGTAAAACAGTAAATGAAACCTTTGTGAAAGGGAAAAACAAACAAAACAAAGGATCCTTGTCAATGGGGAACGATCGTCAAAAGTTTTATAAATGAACACCGTTCGAGAAGAGAAGCATGGAAGAGGTAGCGAACCACTAAGTAAGAGCAGGATAACGAAGAGCAGGATAACGAAGAGCAGGACGAGAAGGGAGTACTAGGAGAAGAAGGCGGTGGGGGAGGAGAAACAGAAGGAAGAGGAAGAGGAGGAAGAGAAGGAGGAAGAGGAGGAGGTTGCCTCAGATTTGAAGTTTTTTTTAACCTTCTCAAGTGAGCGACACAGCCTGACCTGCGCGACAACCATATGATCGACCGCACTGGCGGACCCGTCACCCATCAGAAAGCTCAATTCGGTGGTTGCACCAAGGACGACGAAGGTAAACGGATACGTGCAAGTCAACAATGAGGGCGGCGAGGAGAGAACAAGGTGAAGAGGGGAAGTTGTTGAGCGGGCCTATTGATGAAAGACGACATATGGATTCCAACTGGAAGACAGAAAAGGTGATAGGCGGGAGCACGAGGAGGAATAGGAAGTAGTAGTAGTAGTAGCAGTGGCAGCAGCAGTAGCAGCAGCAGGAGGAGGAGGAGGAGGAGGAGGACGAATAGGATGGAGAGGAGGAGGAGGAGGAAGGGGAGGAGGAGGAGGCGGACATATTGTTATGGTTAAAACGGAGAGAAGCAAGAAGAATGAAAGCCGATCTGTTCTGTGGCTGCAAGTACGGCAATGGCATCTGGTCGGTGTTCATCCCTTAGCGGGAATCTGTCGCACAGGAGAGACAAAAGACATTGGCTCCGAACGATACGGAACGTTGCATGTATACATCTATTGGTGCAAACCACCGAATTGAGGCTTGTGACGTGAAACGGGTCCGCCTGTGCGGGCGATCGTATGGTTGTCGCTGAGGTCAGGCTGTGTCGCTAACTTGAGAGGGTTAAAAAAACCTTGAAAATCGGAGGCAGCCTCCTCCTCTACCTCCTCTTCCTTTTCCTTCTCTTTCTCCTCATCCTCCTCGTCCTCTTCCTTCATCACTCCCCGCTCCTTTCGTCATCATCATCTCTCCCACTTTTCCTTCTCTCTTTCTCTCTTTCTCTCTCTCTCGCCTGCGTTCTCGCCGTCTGTCTCTCGCTCTCTCGCCCTCGCTCCCAATATCCCATGCTCTGTTGCTCATTCACTTTCCTTCTCTATTCGCTTGCGCTCGCCAAATTTCTTTTCCTCGTTTTTAAATCTCTCTCTCTTGGTCGCGCCTCTCAGGAAAAGGTGGAAATACCTATCTCGCACGACAGGTAGGATTTAGACGAGGAACAATCTCTCTCTCTCTCTCTCTCTCTCTCTCTCTCTCTCTCTCTCTCTCTCTCTCTCTCTCTCTCTCTCTCTCTGTGTCTCTCTCTCTGACTCTACGCTTAGCTATGCGCTGTGCTTGCATTTTTTGCCTTTTTTTCCGCTTCATCAGCAGAAGAATTTGTCTCCTTTTGCCGTGGTTAAAGCCAAGATACCAAAACGGCCGTTGAGCCTCTTTGTTCTTTTTTGCTTTCTTGTTCCTTATTCTGTTGCTTCCTTCCCCCTTCGTCCTCTCCCTCCCTCCCCCCCCCCTTCAGCTGTCCCCTTTGTTAAGAGAAAGTGGGCGCTCGGTTTGCATATTCTTGGAGATCTATATCTTTGTCGGGCTTTGCTCAACACGCATTGACATCTTCCGATATGTCTTATTCAGTACCTGAGCAGCAAGTCTTGTCGTCGTGTTCCTGCCATTTTGTTTTTCTTCTTCGTCTTTCGTATAGCTCCTATGGCTGCCCGTATATCTATGTTTGTGTGTGTGTGTGTGTGTGTGTGTGTGTCTGTGTGTGTGTGTGTGTGTGCGTGTGTGTGTTTGTATGTGTCTGCTCTTGTTCGCTACAATCCACTCCACGAAAAAAAAGCATGACTGTGCCAGT